CACATGAAGCAGGGGATGCGAGGGTAGGTAAGCATACATTTTACTTTAATACTTCATGGTGAGAGGAAATTGAGCTCTCATGTACTTTGTTGTACGGTAGAGGAAGGATAAGGGAAAGAAATTAACAACAGAGCTTATGCAGCTATGCAGTGGGAGCCTGGAGGGAAACTTTGTTAATGTACACCAGGATATCCTGGGAATTAGGGTGACCAGATGTCCCGATTTTATAGAGACAGTCCTGATTTTTGGGTCTTTTTCTTATATAGGCTCCTATTACCCCCACCCCCGTCCTGATTTTTCACGCTTGCTGTCTGGTCACCCTACTGGGAATCCTCCAAAGAGATCTCTAGGAAATTTTCCTGCAGATATTCTGCAATCCTCTGCCAAAGGTTCCTTGGCAAAACTAAACTTGTTTCTTGCCCCATTGGAGGAAATTTTGCTGCACCCAACCGGCAATTATTTCTGCAGCAACCAAAGCAACACACAGGCGAGGAGTACACGGAGACAGTCTGAAGCCTCACGCATGCAAGAGATGCATCCTGGTTACCCTCAGGAGTGAATATCGGGGTTTGATTACTCCGCATATGGATAAGGGTACCAATATTCAGAATATTTCCACTAGGACGTTGTAGGAACCCCCTTCTCAGACCACCCAGGTCCTTTGTTCCTTCTTGCCCATTCCCCCCTTTTCACCCCCCACTGAACTCACCCTATTTCAGACTCATGCCAAGCTGTATGCTAGCCAAGGGACTGTGAGATAGATGTGTGTGTAAATTTTATGATTCACGGCTGTGAGTGCAACACTGTATCAGTTCATTGTTTCTTTGGCTTCTGAAGATGTGCCCTTGAGGACCCCACTTAGAATATCAGGGTTGGAAGGGACCTCAGGAGGTCATCTAGTCCAACCGCCTGCTCAAAGCAGGACGAATCCCCAACTAAGTCATCCCAGTCAGGGCTTTGTCAAGCCTGACCTTAGAAACCTCCAAGGAAGGAGATTCCACCACCTCCCTAGGTAACCCAGTCCACAGCTTCACCACCCTCCTAGTAAAAAAGTTTTTCCTAATATCCAAACCAAACCTCCCCCACTGCAACTTGAGATCATTACTCCTTGTTCTATCATCTGGTACCACTGAGAACAGTCTAGATCCATCCTCTTTGGAGCCCCCTTTCATGTAGTTGAAAGCAGCTATCAAATCCCCCCTCATTCTTCTTTTCTGCAGACTAAATAATCCAGTTCCCTCAGCCTCTCCTCATATGTCATGTGCTCCAGCCCCCTAATCATTTTTGTTGCCCTCCACTGGACTCTTTCCAATTTTTCCACATACTTATTGAAGTGTGGGGCCCAAAACTGGACACAGCACCACAGCAGCAGAATACCTCCATCAGATAAGACAGCAAACCAGGAAGATTAAGGAGGATATGTTTTGTGAAGTGCTGCAGTCAACAGCTACAGCAGATAGTGAAACAAGAGCATGGAGGGAGACAATTAATGAAAATATCAGGCTGGATAGCCTGGAAAGGAGAGAGGGGCAGGAGTGGATGATTAAGCTACTGGAGGACCAGACAGAGGTGCTCAAGTCCCTCATTATGCTTCAATCAGAGCACATCCATGCATGAGTCCTCCTGCAGTCAGAACTCCATTCCATGCTTTCCCCAAACTCCCTCACCACATTTGGTGCATGTTCCTGATCCCTCTCAGTACCTTTGCACTCAACCCCCAGGGGCTGGTTTCACAGTGAAAGCTGGAATTACACTCAGCTGGGAGAGCCATAACCGAGAGACTATTCCTCATTTCCATGTCCCCTATTTGACAAATAGTTTGGTTTTTGTCCTGTTATTAAACTTTATTTTTGATACAAATTTACTCTTTATTTGGATCATATGCACGTTAGTTGGTGCTAACATTCAAACATAATGGCTATTGGAAGGAATAGTTGCACAGTACAAGTAACGCTCTGGAATCAAGCATTACAGGGTTC